GCAGGCTACCTGGACGCAGGTAATAACAGAGCCAACAGCAGTAAGGAGAGACAGAACAACAGGATAAGGACCCTCTGGGTGGGAGCTGGATGGATGGGCAGAGCTGCTACGGGGCTGAGCTGAGAAGCAGCTGATCCTGACATGCAGAACTGGGTGAGTCTGTTACTTTTCATGTGATCCTGTGTTCTGAACTTTGATCTGATGCAGAATGCTTTGTCCGGAATTTCAGGACACTGATGGATTTGTGGAAATAGTGATACAGATTCTCACAGACAAGAATAAAATGTAGCAGGTATGTATATGATCAAGTGGTGGGGGATTTGTCGTAGGCTCTGCTAATTCCCTAGAAGGTGAGAGAGGATTTGGTTCCTAGGGTTAGGAAAGTGCATTTTTTGTTTATTGCTTTTACTAATGAAAGCAACTGTCTGTGTGCCGGGTCACATTACAGTGCTTTGGAAGAACCAAAGAATTAACAAAAATGACATGAAGCAGATGAGTAAAGTTTGAGTGAAAGACTTGGAGGGTATCAGTGACAAGCAAGATGATAACCAGGCACTATGGTGGTGGTAGGTTTCATACTTAGGAAGTGGGGATGATCCAGCTGATGGATTTTCCCTTCAAATAGATGTTGAGAGTATAGACTAAGCATGGAATGTGAATTTTGTAAACCAATTTGAGAACAAATATAGCTATACATTACAGTCCCTTCAAGAAAGCAAAGGGTGGATCATAGAGAGGAAGGCTTGCATTGAGGCCAATGTGTGTGGGGGTGATGAGCACACATCACTTCCTGTTACTGTGTTCCCATTCTCTAGATTTCTTATAGCACAATTTAAAACATAAATGCAGTTAAACTCAGTCACATCTAGGAGTGCTTTAGTGATGATATGGGTAAAGTTTGGGGAATACTAAATTTAGATGATAGAAAATGTGTATTTGAATAATATGTGTTAGTTTTAATGGGCAAGAAAAACATTGTATGAACCTTATATCAGTGGGATCCATTTAGGTCTTGCTGTTTTGCATATGCACCATGCCTTCCTTTTCCAACCACCTACTGGTGCACATTTTGGTTTATTCCTGTCTCGGTGACTGTGAATAGCACATAGAACATGGGTGTGCGTGTGCCTCTCTGGCAGACTGAGATCATTTCCATTTGCTTTGGGCACAATTACTGGCTTGCTGGATCATGCAGTAGCTATATTTTTAAAGTTTCGAGGAACATAGACGTTGTTTTCTACAATAGGTATGATAATTTACAGCTCTACTAAATGTATCCAAGTATTTCCTTTCCTCAGCTCATCTCAAGAATTTGTTAACCTCCTTCTCTCTGACCGTGGCATTCTTTGATACTAATTTCAGGCATGATAGCTGTTGTTCAGATTTTTTCATATACTTGTGCATCATTTTTGTCTTTCTTGGAGAAATTTTTGTTCAGGTATGTTTTCTTTATTCAGGGCGCATGTCAGGGTACTTGTATTTTTATTATTCAGTGGTTTGAGTTCTTATACAACCTGTACATAATTTTTGTCAGGTGGAAATATTTTCTACAGTTATATAAATTGTCTCAAGTATCGTTATTGTCTCTTTTATTTTGCAGGTGCTATTTGTTTAACAGAATCCAACTTTACTGTTTTTATTTTTCTTGCCAGTATTTTTAGGGTCTGAATAAAAAAAATGGTCACTCATCTCATCTCAGTGAAATGTTTTCTATAGGATTTTTCATTTTATTTTGTAGCATCACTGTTTCAGGTCTTCCTTTTATACTCATTTTAAAATTTTTAAAGAACTACTTGATTATTTTCAAAATATTTCAATTTTGACATGTTTGATCTGAACCTTTCTTCTAATTAGAACTTTAAAAATTTATTTTCTTCTAATACTTTTAGGTTTTCAGAAATTATTCTGAATTTTCTGCTTTTTTCACTTGCATCATTACCTTGTGCATTTGAAGTAATCCTGTCTGTTTTGGTTTTGTTTTGTTAGGATGTCTGGAGTCCATAGAGCCTCCTGCTATCATTTTGAGCAGTCCTTTGTTCCCCTGCATAGCCCAGTATCTAACTTAACTCAAATTTTTCACAATCTCACCACCAGAAAAATGGGTGTAAGATGTCAGTTAATATCTGCAGTGGCCTTCCGCTCTATTAAATGGATCCATCACTGTGCAGAGTATCTGCCCAGAGAAGTTTAAAATATCACTAGTGTGCATATGATAAAGTGGTGGGGAGTTTAGCAAAAGCTCTGCTAAATACCTTGAAGGTGAGAGAGGACTTGGTCACCAGGGTTAGCAGAGTGCATTTTTCATTTGATTATGCTACTAATGAGAGCAACTACCTGTGTTCTAGGACACATTATGGTGCTAGTGGGAAGAGCCAAAGAATTAACAAAGAAGGACACATGAAGCAGATGAATATAATTTGAGAGAAATGCCCTGCAACATTAGGGAACACCTTCCAAAGACAGACACAGATGGAGCTGGATTGGATGGGGAGACAGGAAACTCATACATCATTCTCCAGTGAAGGAATAGGTGCATTTCTAGTGGAGCAAACAGGGAACCAAGACATCACCAAGGAGAAGGAAAGTCCCAAAGCTCTCAGAACCCTTGAGGATGGACTGAAAGCTCTAAAATAGTAAATC